AAAATGTGCGATTTTGATGCATTTTCGGCCTTAAAATGGCCGCTATTCGGCTATCGTTAATCGGATCATGAAAAAAATGCATGTGCATATGTCCCATATAAGGTGTGATGTATGAGTGAAGTTTGAACTTAATCGGTCCATGCATGTTCGAGATACAGGTGATCACGGACGCACGGACGCACGGACGCACGGACGCACACAGGGCAAAACATAAGTCCCCGTTTTCGGACTGCGTCCGAACGGGGACTAAAAAAGCTAAACATAACATTTGCAATTGCTAAATTACTCACAATACGTACGCCAGACATGATTGGGATGTGTATGTGATGGATTTACAGCGGTGTTTGAAGATATACATGATTGATACTCTGCCAAGATTGGCCGGACTGATTGATGATAATCACAATAATACCGATATCACAATTTGACAACTATATACACTATGTCCGGTTTTCTAAGTGACGCACAGAGAGAGTTATTGCTCATCATTAGTCAGACAATTGAGAAGACGAAAACGGTCGTATATTGCTGACTAGCATGTTTACGTTTATTGTTCAATCTACACGTCTAGAAAGTTGACAGTTCCCGCTTTAGTTAGGAAACATGCGTTCATTAAGGGTATCCACGGTAAAAGTAGGTTCACTAGCACCGAACCCAACCATGTATAATTGAGCTCGGTTACAAATACCACTTCTAATTTGTATTGCATACATCTCAATGAGCATTTCCTCGATACTAGATTAAATCGCAGTTTATATGAAGCCCAATATAAGAGATAGTGGCATCAATTGTTGAGGTATACGGGCTCAATTATTTTGAAATTCAAATTTCCATGTGTCTCACAGTATCGTGCATCAGTAATTTTCAGTATTATAGTCCTGGCGTTTAGATCATTTTTTACAATGATCCACCTTTTCCCTTAACGAACTTTCCAAACCCATTCAAAATTCTGAGAAAACTACCTCGACTGAGCATAAAGTTTGCAACAGAGGAACAGCGAATTAAAAATTTATATTCTCAAAAATTTGCTAACCATACTACTATATCAATCCTATACATCCTCTGCAAGCTTAGGTGTAAGCAAATAGTTTAGTAAGTAAACACGATCATCATTTGTTGTTGGCATATTACATGTAGATCTTAGAGAAACCGTTAGATTGTTATCCGATATTGCCGGAAAATAATTACCCTGGGCGACTTGGAAAATGACTAAAACTATTATAAAAATAACAGTTTTATTTATTTCAAGAACCAGCTCAAAAGAAATTACTAAAGACCACAATGGAAAATAAAAACAGGGTGCCGTAAAAATAAAGTAAATACACTTCCAGTCTCTGATCATATAAATAGACATGGCTTACGCAGAATACTTAAAAATGTCGGGACACCATTTACAATTTACATTCACAATTGGCGACTGACATAAAATATAACGCGAAAAGCGTTGTTATAAGCAACACGCACAGCATTCAGATTACAAAAAGTCATAACCTGACAGAAAAAAGGCACTTATTAAAATGGCTTTTGCATAAAAAGACTTCATTTGACGCTTTATGTCACAACTATCATTGGTATAATGTGTTCACAATATCAATAATCACTAACGAAATCCAACTTAGAACCATTTAGATACACGTGGGGCACGAATACTACTACTACGAGGAGGCAGTATATACATACATTTCAGTTTTAAATTTGGTATTATGAGTGTTGTCAACTACACGTAGGACTTCCTGTTTGTAATGCTATATGAGAAATCAGACTAGCTATCACGTGAAACCAAATGAAAATCATTCTAAAATAACGTACTTAACGTACTCAATTGATTCTGGATTCATTGACCAGGAAGAAAGAAATGACATTTGCAATAATAATCGTTGAGCAGGTTCGGGTTGTAATGTTCGGTTGACGAAATAGACGATACAACAGTACTGATTGGACCTACATGAATGCTCATAAAATTCACATAACCAATTGTTGTTGTTTTTTTTTGCTTTTTCCGACTTTTAATATGTCGTACATTATCTTCGGTAATAACTCCGAAAGTGAAGTCTTGTATCTTCAACAGAACGTAGCCGTTAAAAGTTGCAAAACGAGTCTATTTTGATCGATCATCGCTTAAGCAGCATAATTTTTTTTTGGCTCATTTAAAAAATACGAACGGTGGTAATATTCAAAACTGCATTTTTTCTGTCTTTTGCGTGCTTCAGAATGATAGACCTACGCCGATCGTATTTATT